GTGTTGTTTTCATAGGGTTTCACTGCAGAATGGGTGGAGTGTGGTGCAAACGCACACATACACACAGGCACATATATGTGCTGATATGCGCACGTGCTCATAATAATATCTTGAGCTTTCTCTGAATTCCAGTCATCGCACTCTTGTGCTTGACCCATTTTCAAGCCCCCCCCCCCAACAACAAGATCAACAAACCCTGCTCGTGTGGGGAGGAAGAAACAGAAATTTGAAAGAGACTGAAAGTGAGAACGAGTGAAGAAAGCTTTAAAGAGGAAGACAGAGGGACAAGATCATGTGGCGAATGTGATGCAGTCTCTTGTTTACCAAAGAAAAAGCCTCACCCACACGTCTCTCTAGCCCTTCCTTCTCACTCTTTTGTTTCCTCAACTCTCCCCTCACTTCCTTTCTTCTAATCTGTCCTCTCCTTCTCGACATTTCATTGCATCTTATTCCCTCGCAAGCTCATTCCTAGCACTGTGCCCTCCTCTCAAGGTTGGCCTGACTTTGGGCGTGTTGAATTTACAGCCCCATCTCTGCCTGCCTTCTCAGTGCCCTCACTGTCAATCTCAGTGAAAAATGGAGACGGTGGCACATCACTGGCATGATAAAAATCCTGCAACAGTGATCACGTAAACCAAACACCTACAGTAGCCCCTTTGAAGACATCCTTTACATTCCCACGACTGGGCCGCTGGCTGGTTAAGGCTGTGATTCTATTAGGAAGCAAACTGTTTAATTAGCCCCTATAAGCACTCACAAGGAAGAGAGACGAGTGAGCAGAATGCAAGAAGCCAACACGCATGTGACTGAAAAATGTAGCCAGATTTTTTTTTTGTCCCCTTCGCCGATGCTCTGAGTATTGGATGGAGTTATTTGCATAAAGCAAATAAAAAAATAGCATTTTCCATGCAGGAGAAAATTGACTGGGGCACTGTGCCAAGCAGGTTATGCAATGAAATGAGAGGAAAAGTAAGAAGTCCGACAGCCAAGGCCGGCGGAGGAGGATGGAAGAGAAGAGAAGTATTTTCCTCAGTCAAACATAAACATAAAAAAATGTCAACATCTGATTTTATCATTATGGATAAACACTATATTACAATATATTATGTATAGTGTATACAAACCAAAAAAAACTCTCTTTAAAACGTGCACGGTATGATCCAGTGATACAGGATATGTTTGTAGTTCTATTTTGCAATTAATAAACAGTTAATAAATATTGGAAATATTTAGTTTATCACAATATAATTTGCAAACAAAATCAAAACAAACAAAAAATGTGATATTTGTTAATAAATGAAGTATGCAGACATGTTTTTGGTTAAAAAAAAATATTACTGAATAGTAAAAATATATTTATATAAAGATTTGGCCAAATCTAGACGACAGACAAGTGCTGTACTCTTATAGAATGTATGCACTGTCCAAATTTTATTCAAACATCGGAGAAGAAGAGTTATGCAATGTTGTGTGGAATTTAGAGGGTGGACAGCCAAGATGGCAGCACACCCTGGAAGTAGGCAGGACCTGTGGAGTCTCTTCCTTCCTTCGCACTCTAAGCCTGTGTCTTACTGTATTGCACAATAAAGCTTCCTGTCTTTCATCTCTAACCTAATCTCCTGCCCGAAAAGACGAGAGGCATGCGTTTTCTTTCCCTGAAGGAGGCCGTATCTCCCTCCTTGTAACAGGGAGATATGGCCTCCTTCTTCTTTTCCTGTCCTCTCCCCATCCTACCTGACCCCTCCTCACCTTTCCCCTCTTTACCAGCTGTCCCCCAGGGAGTTTCTGCAGGTCATCGGTCTGGCTTACACGTCATTATCATAGGCTGTGTCAGGTTTCCTCCCGGATTAGTTTGTGATAGGTGTACAGGTTTAGTTTCTCTTAGCCTAAGTACATTACAGCACTGGGCCTGATAGGTCTCATCAAATGAATCATATCATTCATTTTGATTTTAATAGTTAGAAACCAAAGCTACAAATCCCCAGCAATTTAAAAGACAACGATATGAGGCTGACTATTACAAATGATGAGATGGTTGATAAGTGTTGTCAGTGGTCAGTGACAGCTGAGCCTAGTTCTTCCAGAAGTTTCATCCTGTTAAAAGAGAGTTTTTCTTCCCACTGTTGCCAAGTGCTTGATCAAACATTTCCCTTCTTAAAGTCATTTTATCATTTTGTCCTGTATTTTCATTCGAATTTGTGCTCAAATTGCACAACATACGTAACTATGAACATCCTAGAGACAAGCACAAGGTCTCTGAGACAACATATTCTCTGCAGCTCATTCGGCGTTTAAGCACTGGTTTTGCAGAAGCTCTTGTCTGAAACCAAGGCCGCCCGGCTCATTAAGCTGCCTCATATCATGAATGATAGGAGACAAAAGGCAGGTAGATAGAAAACACAGAGACACACACTATCCCTTTTCAAAAAGCACGGGCACTTGACATGCAAACACACCAGGGTGTGTAAAAAAAAAAAAAGAAAAGCTCTGCATTTACATGAATGTGTGCACACAGGTAGTAAGACAACAGGAGCGCACACGTGTATTCAAATAAAGGTCCATCATATAAAATCCTGGCAGGACCACAGTAGGACACAGCTCAACTCCTCCCCTCCCTACTCTACCTTCCTTCCTTTCATATTTTTTTACCCCTTTCATCTCTGTATTAGCTCTGTCAATTGTTTATCAAAAGCGGCGAGGAGGCGATCGGAGCCGGCCATTTGAAAGCTCGTGCTGCGAGATCCATTTTAAAATTCATGACGGGTTAATGGTATGTTAGTGGCAACATTAGGACCCGGTGAGCTTGCATCATGCTCATTCACATTGAAAACAGGCCGCTTCAAATGACTACTAAGCAGTCCTCGTTCTGAAAGGTAATTCATATTGTAATTAACTTTTCAATCACAGCTGATTAATTAAGACAAGCTCTAGTCTGTAATTATGCATCTATTTTTGACCCTAATGTGAATCACTGGATATTCCACAGATGTCAGCAGCTGCGATTTGAGCCAGTTTCCTCTCTGCGACTTAGAGATCTCAAAAGGCAAAAACTCACACCTGAACATTTTAAGCAGGGAGCACATTGTTGGTATCAGCTTAGATGTTTCAGAGCCGCAGGTCTTTATCACCATGATCTGCCACAATGTTTTAACCATTTTGATTATTTCAGCCTCTTTACAGAGAAATATCTTATAAAAGATGTGTCTTTCTTCTAATTCTGATGCACCGTGCAAAGGTAGAGAAGTGCACTTGATGTTACCGCTCCCAACAAAAACCTGAGATTAATAATTCAGTGAGGCGGTGGGATAGCTTTATTTTGTGTCCTCTGAGACTAAATCGTCTTTTATGTAAAACTGAATAAAAGAAAGGAAAGGGCTGTGGAAAAAAAAAAAAGTCGGAAAACTAGGCTGGGCCAGACTGCATCCCCCTGCCATTGTCAAGCCCGGTTGGTATCCTTATGGTGTCTCTCACTCACTCTCTTGTTCTTTGCTCACGCACAAACACGAGCACACAACACACACACACACACCTCCTAACCCTCCTAGAGTAAACATACCCTCTCCATAACAGTGCGCGGTGAATCCGCTCATGCATCAGAATCTACCATCAAATATTTATCACCGAGCAGCAGTGATTTTGACCGTGTGCTCATGCTTTTGACAGCACTCGCCTGCTGCAATACTTATTGGAGTAAACACAGACAATCCGATATCGTTGTTCTTTTGAACACTCGTGCAAGAACTCAAAAGAACACCAAGTGTACAATATAATCCATCAAAACTTCACTGCATATTCTATAGGCCGTCTGGCCTGCGGTAAAAAGCACAGACATCACTGTGGACTGTATCAGAGCTGATTTGGAAAAATAACTGGCAGACATGCATTTTAATTTGCAGAAATGGCACAAATACTACTCCTGGTCTATACACGGAGAGGCGTTCTTCATGTATTTTCTAATTCAGGACAACAAACTTTTGTTTTTGATCTAGAGAACACACGTAAAAGTATTTCATTTGCATGGACGCTTTTGTTTTTTCAGTCACACTTAAGATAAACATCATCTCTGGGTCTTGTCTACATGATTCATTTCATTTGCGGAACCTAATCATATCTGCATGCTGCGTATTTGCTCGCTCTCCGTGACATTAGGCAATGTCTTCAACCAGCAGCTTGCAGCGAGTAACTCGAGTAACCTCGAGTAAATAAGTCGCTGGCATGGATCAGAAGACACATCTTCATGCTTGAGCACACACATTTAAAATGCCACCAAAACACCGTCCCAGATTCTGCCTTCAGTCAAATGACATCAAGTGCTCACTTACAGGTCCCTGAACGCCACAGTATGAAGCAAAATCAGCCAGCGGGCAGTACATGGAGCAATCAAAGAGATAAGCATCCCATTTAACCTGAGTAAAAATTCAAGCTACAGAACGTTCTGGTGTGTTGCGCTATCCCGCTGTGCCACTGGATTCAAATAAGGAGGGTAAACTAGGTCATTGGTATGTAATGCTATGTAAACTGTCCCACTTTACCCCTTGCTGGACTCAAAATGGCGTTGGCTGAGGTGGAGTGTGTACAAGAAAGAGAAGCCCAGTGATTCAATGTGACAGTTATCAACATCCTCTGGCTAGTGAGAGGACATAGCTGTATAGAGCTGCAGAGCCCCAGTAATGGCAGACTCAGCCAGTAAACAGGTAAGAAGATGACTCACAGCTAAACAGAACACAGCGTCCAAAGAGCACAGAGCAGAGTAAGTGGAAGGCAACTGGGCATAAACAGCAAAAAAAAAAAAAGGACACAACTCTCAGAAATTACCGGCATGGCCACTAAAAGTCTTTTTTTAGTACATACCTTGCACAAAGTTACAAATGTGGTTGGTCATTTTAGCATCAATGTTTGCTTTTTACCTTCAGATATACACATTAAGTTCAGTTATTACCATGTTGTGAACATGGAGGCTTTGAGTGCTAAAAGCTCTATATTTGAAGTTTTTCTCCTACCTGAGCTGAGCGACACGGTGTCTTTCTCCCATGATACGACAGTGACGTAGGCCTCCACAGAAGCAGGAATAATGCACTTGAACACGGCTACACTCCCTCTCATAGCCTTCTGGTCAGCCACTCTGACTGTGTAGGGTTCCCGTGATACTATTGAACAATTAAAAAACAGAATTAAAAGGCACGTCTCATTTACAGGGCAAAAAAATGACATTATTATGCATTTTTTTAAAGACATCTAGGGTGAAGCAAACTGGGTCTGCCATCAAAGAAAGCATCAGAGTTCAGATCTATGGTATAAAATTGCAAAGAAAGGGACACTTTCCATGGTAGTGGAAAGTGTAGCTTAAAGTAGAGACACAAGTTTCACCTAAAAAATGTAACTACAAAACTGGTACATGTTATAGCATGAACTTCTAATCTTATCTGTGTTTCAGAGAACACAGTCCACAGCAGGTATCAACCACCTTACACAACTCCTTGTAGCTATGTAGGAACAGATCAACGGAGGTGCATAACATGGGCTATTCAGACCCCCAGCCTCCGTCAGAAAGTTCTACTAGAGGTGGGACGCACCTCCTCAGTATACATTTAGGCATGGCTGGGCTAATTGGCATCCTCCACTCACCATTAGTTATTGCTGAGCTCCTCTCTTCCCCTGATTGTTCAACACATTTGGCCAAAAGTCTACTGATACAGTTACAAAACTGATCATTGACCTATGCCCTAGGGTGTCCTGGTTAACATTCTTATGCGTGAACGTGGTGTTATTTATGGACAAATATTCCAATGCCAGAACAGTGCCTGGATTCAGATCATTCAGATTTACTGTCATTGCCCATGTGAGCACTGAAGTCCCCCAGTAGGACAATGGTGTCTCCAACTTGGGCCACTTCCATCACCCTACTCAGGGACTCCAAGAAACTACCAGAAACTCAGAGCTGTTATTTTGTGCTTTACAGTCAGGATCTCTTTTTTTGACACTAGGGAGAACCCCAGTTTTCAAGCACGCTTGGATGATACAAGTATGCCCACCTCTGTCCGACACTGCCCTGTCCAATCACTGAGGGCAATAGCAGATTGCACTAAAGTCCAGCCTTCTCCAGTAGACTAGTTCCAAAAGCTGTGCATTGAAGTCCAACATTATCAGGCCAGTTTCTCCTAATCTAAAGCGCTACCTTAGGTTTCTTCCCAAAGAGAGAAGTGACCTTGCATGTCCTGAGAACAACTTGGGATTGGACCATCAAGGGTTCTGCCTGGCAACTGTCTGATCTATACCTACAGATCAATCATTAGTTGCTCTAAGCCTTTAAGCAGCATTATTGTAAGATTTTGGACCTTTGCTGGACTTAACCACTAAACTACAAAAAAATAACACACTATCAGTACTACAAGTGTTGTACACTCAGTCTGTTAAATTCATACCCATGCAAGTTCCCCCATCATCACAATAACAACAAGTCCTTCAAACCCTTATCTGGAGACTCACCGGCTTTGATGTGGACATCCTGACTCCTAATCTTGCCAGAAGGGTTCTCGGCAGTGCAGTAGTACGTGTTGTCATGGATCAGCTTGCTAAAGCTGGATGGCAGGAAGTTAAAGATCTGGAGGGTTCCATTGGGGTGAACGTGACGGATGCCGGGGACATCGTAGATCTCCTCGCCGGTAGCCAGATACCACCGCAACGAGGCAGGCGGCGCACCCCCAGCAGGACAGGGCACAGAGGTCCCTGTGGTGCTGGCAAATACTACCTCTTGCAGAGATGCATTGACAAAGTATAAGCTGGAATGTAGGTCTTCACTGAAAACTGGAATAGAAAAAAAATAGGAGAACATCACAATCTGTGGTTTTGATTTTATTTATCAGTCTTTCATTTTTAAATTTTGCAGTAATTATTGCTGAAAGCACCACCTTAACATAAGTTGATAAATAAGCTCTTGATATTAAGCTCTTGATATTTAAGTATCAATTTAAATTAGTTAAGATGAAGAAGATTGAATCAGTATTTGTTAAAAATCTCTGACTCCAAGTGTTGCTTATTCATTGCTCATGATCAGCAGTTATAGATTCATCAGTGTATTCCCATCCCTGGGATTTTGGGAACATTAAATTAACATAAACTCCCATCAATTATGAAATAAGGTCCACGGACGTGATTATGTTCATGCTTCGGTTTAAACTGGCATCACTGTAAAGAGAATGGCATTAAATGTAGTTAGTGCAGGAGCATTCTCAAGAGGATAGGAGGGTAATAAATGTCAATGTTGGCTCAATTAGCTGCATATAAATCTACAGCTGTTTGATTTCAGAGTGAAGAAGCCAAGGCAGCAGAAGTCTACGATCTGAGGTTCTGTGAAAAGACAGTTTGTTTGTATTTCAGGCAAAAATACAGCATTTGTGTGTGTATGCCTTGTCGCCTCAGCCTGGTGGCAAAGCTCTGCAGTAAATGGCTTACAGTGGCACTGGCAGCTGGCTTGGACCCTCTCTGGGGAGAAAACATTTTAGCACTTCATAAATTCCTAACAAGGTTTCAAATTGCAGACATTTCCATCCTTTTCTCTGCTCCAGTAGCTCTGAACTAGCAATGAGACACTCCACTGACCTGCACATGTACACATGCAAAACACTCATTTGAAGATTAGGAATTCAACACACAAAAATTATTATGGAGGTAAGGATCACTGCTGGAGCCTTTCTCCTGAGAAAGGAATATGCAGATATATTGAAAAGTTGGACAGAGACCTATATTTTCAATGTTATATAAAGTACACTACACCACTACACTAAAAAAAAACTATACAGACATTTCATTTAAATGTTTTGACTGTAGTTCAGGGCAGGATAACTATTTATCAAAATACAAACAGACAGTATATTTTTCTGTGAGATTATAAAGCTATATATTTGCTACATTAAGCTTAGATAAAACAGTGTTCTGTATATTCTGTATATTGCTCCCCCCCACTACAGTATTTTCTTATAAATGTATTTTTTTCTTACAAAATAATTTAAATAATATTATATTATAAGGGGTAAACTGTGCTTCTGCAAATAGACAGCAAGTGAAAGAGTTTTTTTTCCCCAGGAATATGAATAAATGGCGAAAATAACCTTATCTTTTATGTTAGCTTAAATTAGCGCTATAAAGGCTAATGCTAATTTAAAATAAAATACAAAATAAACGAGCTAACACTGATATTAACACTATGTCAAAAAAGTGCACTCATTTTAGACGTACTTGAAACTTCTAGATTAAAATGTTTAGGCTAACAAAGTTAGTTGTTTTTTGTTGTTTTTTTAGCTAGCTAGAAACCCACAAATGGGATGGTAGCTGTTTATTCTTCCTGTATTAAAACACACTGGTCAGAATCATATCAATTGTTATGTCAAATTAAACAATGCTGTTTTTTCTACTGAGACTGTAATATCACAGGTATCACTGCAATATCTCACCATGCCTGCCTGGTCTCTCTGGTTGGCAAGAATGCAGCCTAAATTTTATTACCAAAAAGGAACAAAGTGCCTTATATGGCTTGCATTATAGCTTTTAGGGGGCTCTAATCACCTTTGTGAGGAAAAATGTAAGACACAATAAAATAATATATTTATAGAAAACACATTTTTGATGCTGTAATTATGGTTTTTAACATGTCAGCTGTGACTCAGACTGTAGTACAGCCCACAAGTAGCAAGTACCAATCAATCAATGTCCGCATCCCTTTTTTTATACAATACGTGACTCTGCTTGCTGCCTGTCTGCAATATGTTATCTGCCTGTCCTAGAACATGCCCATATGCATACATGCTAAATATTTTCTGCAGATTCATTTGTTTAAAGGGGTGATAAGATGTTTACACAACTCATTATGTTTCTCAGATATGTGGAAAAAATAGGTATTTGTTAAATATAGTGTATTATATAGTTTATATCTTATAATATATATTGCATATACAGTTTCTTCAACAATATATAAAGCAGATTGTGTAAATGTCACATATGCGTTTATAGAAAGACTGACTTTTTAAGAGTGGGTGGTCCAAATAAAATTTCTGCAATGTGCACTATATATGCTCCCAGCAGAGAAACTTTCATATACCTGTACAGTCTCTAACATCAAAAAGTTGTAGCCAATTTAAATATTTTAAGACGCTGTGGGATTGTGCGCCAGGTTCTCGATGGGTCTGTGGCACCGGCTAAGATGAAAATAATACATTAAAGTCATATTAAATTCTGATTCATTCTCTTTTTCCAGCTGGCACTGGGAGTATCAATCTTCTCAGTGCTCTGTTGATAATACAGATCGGAGGTGGTGGTGGTGGTGGTAGTAGTTTTTTTTTTAGGGGGGTTCAGCCTCACCTGATGGTGCTCAAGGTTAGTGAGAAGGAGAAGACACTTTAAAATCACTCGTGTCAAGATATTTTAAACATACTGCTTTGGTTCGTTTTCATCCAGCAGAGAATTTCCCTCATGTGAAATCCAAAATACACAGCTGATTATGCTAAAGACAGTTTATGTTGTGAATGAGGTGTGTGTATGCATGTAGTAAAACGTCATATTTTGTAAACTTCAATTGATTGGATTTGGGGAAGTAAGCGAAGAAAGTTTGTCAATTTTATTTAAACGAAATTAAAAAATACACATAATATTTTTTCTTAATTTAAAAAAAAAAATCCAGTTACAAACAGCTAGCACACTTCAAAGTTTTCCGATCAAATTATTCAAGTGAAGTTAATTGACTCTTGAAGATGTTACAATAGAAAATGTCTCGAGAGAAGATAGATTAAAGAAGTGTGCGGTTGCTTGAAAAGCTTCTATTCTTCGCGAGCATCAGAGAAATTGGATTAGGATTTATGCCACGGCTGTTTTGATATTCACCTATTTCACATTTAAAAGTAGGTGAGAGCTATTCAATTTAGACTGGCTGAGTGAGATTGATTTAATTTAACAAAGAAATGGACTCTGGTGAAAGTGCGCATATCGCTGCACTGCTCGTTTTCCTAATTGACTAAACTCAGGAGCCAGACCGCAAAATGGTGTGATGACGCATGTACATCACTCCCCTCGACCTCACAAAGAGCAGCAAGTCATGCCCCAACAAATGGCCTCAGGGTCCAACCACTTACTACATTGCCCTGGAGGAAATCAGTAATTGGCATAATTTTTCATGAACTCAACTGTAAAAGGTGAAATAAATGACACTGTTCAATAATGCATTATATGCATCTCTAATTGACTATGATTTTTTTTTTTGGGATCTTCAGAGGGACAGGAGGAATGAGGAAAGCTGTTTTATGTAAACCTTAACTATCACAAGAACTTTTTTAATATTTACCCTCTTTTAAATGTAAGCTTTTTATTCACTAATCTGGTGCTTACTGTCATAGTTTTGAGTGCTATTCTTGCAGTTTCCTATAGCTAGCTCAATTGTATTTTGTTTGCACGTTGCACTTCTGTAATTCCCACTGTTTATGCAACTGGTTTAGGAAGCAATGAGACAGATATTGGAGCAATAATGTTAAAAACTATCATTATTTACTATTTTTTAAGACTTTCAAAGCTATAAAGAAATCTCTACAGGGCTGAAGTGTATGTGTATGAAGTGTTTGTGTTTGGATTGCGTTATAAGCATGTAAGAATATATAAGAACGTATATAAACACATCAAACGCGACTATATCACCAAAAATAAATAAATACATATAAAATCACACTATTACTTACATCAGCGGTCCCCAACCCCCAGGCCACGGACCGGTAATGGTCCGTGAGTCGTTTGGTACCAGGCCACGAGAGTTGAGGCTTGGGTGTAAAATTTATGGTTTTCTGGGGTTTTATCAGTTTTTAATCAGGGTTTTGTTTTGTTTTTTAATCATTTTTATCGTTAACTCGGTTTCCCTGGGTCTTTTCCCGAGTGTTATGAATAAATCTTTTTTTTTGGTAGCAGTGCTGGTTTTCTTTTTTTGTATTTATCCACAAACCCTTAAAGGCCGGCCAGTGAAAATATTGTTGGACATAAACTGGTCCATGGCGCAAAAACGGTTGACTTACATGGAATAATATTATCATTCATTTTATTACATCTGGAGATGTGTTTGTGATTCTGAGTCATAAAAGCCCAATAGAGGCTCTCCTTTTAGCTTTGCTTTGGTCTCCACCTGCTCGTGCTAAATGCTACACTAAGTTCACCAGCTAGATGCCAGCTGTCTCCATCTTTTGTTTGGTTATGAACCAATATGTATACATATTTTTCCCCTTAGAAGAGCTTTCTTGTAAAACTAAAGAGGCGTGAAGAGTGAACAGAAGTTATCCATCATAAAACAATAAGATGCAAGACACAACAGTGGTGTGTAGCGACAGGTGATCATTTTTGGAGAGTTTAATACTAAAAAAAAACCCATTGACCATATAAAAATATTCCTTAGAGCACCATTTTGTATTGTGTTATACTGTGTCCTCGTTCTATAGTGTTTTTTATGTGCATTATACACATAAAAACATCACGTAAAAGTTTAAAGGTTTTTATTGGGAAGGTAAGATATGGGAAAATTAGCTCTTTGTTTATTGCCATCTGCTTTAATGGGACGACAAAGGTAGGTACTGGGTCTGTTGTTAGACTGCCACACAGATATTTAAACATAACTATACAGTCATTTCTTGCAGAGCTGTTGTAATCTATTGTCTGTTTAATGTTATAACTGAAAAACTATTAGAAAAATGTGTTTATTGAGTGTTTGACCTTCTGATGATCTGTTTCAGAGAAGCTGTAACATTCCTACAGAATTACTGTATATACAGCAAACAACACCTATTATGAGCCATAGCTGTGCTCCTTTCCACAGCATAACTGATCGGCTGACAGGCTGTTACCATCCACAGCAGAGCCACGTAAACAGTGAATCAGTGTTAATGCAAGGAAATAAAGATTAGTATACATGGTTGATTCCACAGGTCCTGAAGTCCTTGACTCGCCGCTTAATTATTTTTCAGCCTGACACATGCTCAAAACATGCTACAGTCACTTTTTGTGTGATGTTTTCCTCTCTCATGTGTCCTTGCAAGTTAAGATGAATGGTCCCAGTGCCACATGGGACTTCTCATCCCACACCAACATATTCCATCTTTTATGCAGCTGCTAGTTTTTTGTCATGAACTCTCTGTGACATGTGAAGAAGAGAGAACAGCAGAAAGCAAACAAGAAGGGGCAAAAAGAGAATCAGAGAGATAGTGGGATTGATTCAGCTTCCCATATTTCAGGGGGCACTTGTGTTGCATCTGTTGAGCGAGCAGATCCATTGTCTGAGTTGTCAACGCCACCGCAGCATGGGGACTGCACTGCATGGTAGCGTGGCACCGGGTACCTCATAGTGACAATGTGACAGCAGGAACCTTGGGTAATTAAAGCAGCTCTGTGCTCTGTGCCCTCAGGGCATGTCTGCCTGGGATGTGGAGATCATACCTGGCTCACTCACATTCAACACTAACAGCTGAAGCAATTTTCAACCTTAACAAATTCCTGCTCTGTGCATTTATGGATAGTAGCATTAGTGTGATGTAGGCAGCGCTCGAGCATGTGATCAAGCTTTATTCCCAGCAGCTAAAAATAGGGCCTTGACCTGTGGGTGACCCAAATTTGAAATACACTGTACAGGTACACTGCATTTCATTTAATCTGATTACCATGGATGAAAATCATATTTCACCAAAGTAAGTTTTTTTTTCTTTATATCAGTCTACGAACTTGAAAGCAATATGTGTAGAGCTATGTATAGAGCTAGGAGCTCTGATACAGGGAGATGATAACCAGCCAGGGCCAGGGAGTCCACTGTGAGTAAGCATTCCCACTGATCTGATCTGCCCAGAGGCAATACACCATGCATGGAAGTTAAATGACTGTATTCCAATTTGCTCTCATGAATATTAAGCAGGGCTGTGACAGAAAGGGCTGGCTGTACGCAAGCTGCTGATCCACACCGACAGATCAGTCCTCTGATGTCTAGGAGGGGCGGGCAACTCTAAAAACGAGGCCCCCACAGCAGATGAGCCTCCTCCTCCCTGGTCTATTTTCATGTCTTAAATGGGCCAGAGTGGCTGGCTGTCTCATCAAGGGAAAGCCAGAGACCCTGGACTGGTTCTCAGTTAGTATAACTAAGCAATAAAGACGTTGATGTCTAAATTATGCTGCTGCTTCTGCTGATGATGATGAGTGCAAGTGAATCTGATGAGGGATTATACCGTAGCAAACTATAGCAGCTCCCTCTGCTGCTGCTGCTGATGAATAAAAACCTCCACTAGTAGAAATCTAATATTGCTATGTAATATAACAAGCGCACTAGAAGGTGGAGGGAAACCAAGGTCTGTAATAAAGTAAACAAAAAAAGCACTGCTTTGAAATTGTTGCATATATCCACTGCAGATTTACAAGGAGTTGGATTTTACTATGTGAACCTGGAAAACGCTGCTACTGAACCGCAGCAGCTTCTCCAATTAGACCAAACTTATTACAGATGATTTAAGATTTCAACACCTGCAGTTTTACCTATTAATTAAAATAATTTTCTAATTTTACTAAGACCTGAGGAGAGCAGCACTGCGCTGTTGCCTCTCCTCAACCCAATTAACATGAATAAAAACTGTGTATTTATAGAAAGCTAATGCTAATCCTTTTGACAAACAGGCACAGGATTGTTTGTTATAAATATATTTTAGGGGTGATTTATTCCCACAGGGTGCAACATTGATGGTGTGCTGTATAAAGTAATCCAGCACTGCTAAAAAGAAGCATTTAGTAATGTATTTACTGTATAAACCAATAATTTTTTTGTATGTTACATAAAATAATCAGAGGACTATCCCGTGAACTCCACAGTGGGGGTTGAGTTGCTATCTTTTAATTTTAATAAGTTTGCCAGGTGAAAGTTGATTGAGAGGAGCGAAGATACTTTATATTTATACACCGATTAATAATGTAAATGCTTTTTTATTTGTGTGAAGGAAACATCAAATGGAAGGAACCAAGTAACAATCAAAGCAGCACATAATCTAGCGAGGGTCTCATTTAATCACCGATTTATTATCTCTGCAGACTCACCACAAACACAGGCATGCTGGATGCCTTTTACATTTAAAACGATGTTACCTTTTTAAATATAAAAGAAAATTTATCAATGAATCAATTTTTATTTAATTTTTAATAGTAGTTCATCTATTTTAGCTAGCTAGAAAACTTTGATTAATTGGTGCTACGTAGCGCTCTGCTAGGATTAGCTAGGCTAATTCAAGTCAGCACAGCTGTTGCTGCTTTTTTGGAGCATTTTTGGTAGAAGTTTAAAAAGTTTTAACTCCAGTATTGGTGAGTGAAATTATTCTACTTTGTTAGTCTGGCACTTAGCACCAGTTAGCAGGTATCTGTTTTTGTGATGTTTATGGATGTAGCTTGCTAACCCAACTTGCTAATTTGAATAATAACTCCATCCTTTCATCTAAATACAATAACTTCTCACTCGTACTACTACACATATGTAATGTGCTCACTTATAAGATACTGGTAGCATTGTTCTGCTTGCCTAGAGTCATGGTATAAAGAAAGTAGACCATCTGTCAATATTAAGGTTTATATTGTAGAACAGTTTGGTATACAAAGGAGTTTGTGATCAATTCAAAGGCTGCAAGGTGCCCAGGCCCTGTGGCTGCAGAATAAGCCGCAGTCATCTCCAGCAGCTCTGTGGAGCTTTTCTATAAACACAACACTGTGCATTACAGTCAGAAATCTCCACTTTGGTCTCATTTGTCTAAAGGACATTGTTACACAGGTCTTGTGAGCTTGTTGCAACTTTCTTAGCTGTGCCGTCATGTCCTTTTCAGTGACAGTGTCTTCTCCTGCCTTCACCCTTCCAAACCTGTTCATTCTTTTTTTAATTGTACTGTCATGAACTTTTAACATTTAACATGCTAACTGAGGGCTGTAAAGTCTGACATGTAGCACTGAAGGATTTGTTGCAGTTTCTCAGCTTCTCATTGCTCAGTCTGACCTTGTGGTGAATTTGCTAGGAAATTGACCCCTGAGAAGACCGGTAACTGTCTTGAATGTTCACTGTAGAATGATGGACTTCAGACTGTTTGGAAATGGCCTTATAGCCCTTTCCAGATTAATAGACGGCAGCGGTTGCTTCGTCTAAAATAGTTACTGATGTCTTTCCTCTGTGGCATCATGTTAACACACACCTGAATGCTCCGGACCATCAAACTGCCAAACCTTCTGTCTCATAGAGGGCCTCCCATGCTCTGATGATCAGTTAATCAAGTCCATTTGACTAGCAGGACCTGGCTTCTACTTACTCTCTTAATTCTTGTGGATGCCACAAGGTTGTACTTAGTTTTTCGCACACTTTGTCTACTTTTTGGCTTAATTTTTGTTAAATAAATAATGACGCAGTGTAAGGTCTGAGGTTCTGAGGTTGTATTTTCCTAATTGCAAGATCGGCTGTGGCCAAGATTATTATGTTTGATACATAAAAATTTAGAATTTAAAGAGGATGTGGTTTTTTTTTTACCATAACTGTATATTTTCTGCCACAGTTTTTATTCAAATAATACATCGCTAAATCAGTAACCCATTCTCTTAAGAAACATATGCAAATACATCCTTTAAAGAAGTAAGTCCAGCTTCATCGAAGAGTCTGCGTTGCTATGGCTCTATATTTATAATGATGACTTTATA